GGTTGTTAGTTTCTGTTAATTCAATTCTAACTCGTGACAACCCCATATGTGTCTGGCAGAATTGCACGTGGCAAGATTGTCAAGGCTGTGATCATTCAGAAGATTCCGAAGCACCTCTAAGTGGATTTTAACCATCAAGCTATTCATTTTGCCTTACCTATACAGTTATATATCTTTTGTGTCTAATTCCTTTGTACTTCTACAAGCTTCCTTCTAGGATAAATTACCTTCAATGTGAAGAACTGTTTTTATGCTTTTTAATACAGAACTCTTAGTGATACAATTTAGTACATAGTTTCTAAAAATTATTTCACTTCAATTTGAAGCATACTTTCTCTGCAATGGAGTGTGAAGATGGGGATATTTTGTTTCATCTTTTCTCAGTAGTCTGTAAACCTCCATTATTTTTATTGGCAAGTCAAGCTTCAATTATATCATTGTTCTTTTGTTGCTCATGCTCCTTTTCTTCTGGTTATTTTTAAGGATTTTCTTTGTAGTTTACTTCACTCTCATCATTATGTGTCCCAGTGGCTTTGTGTATAGTGTGCATAATTCTCCTTGATTGTGTATCTTACTGTTTTGTCAATTTGGGACCCATAATGCTCAGAGTGGGAACTCTGGTAGCGTAGTGCCTATGGCACTTGACTGCTAACCAGAAGGCTGGCAGTTCAGCCACTCCTCGGAAGGCAGATGGGGCAATCTACTTCCATAGTGATACTGCCTCGGAAACCCGAGGGGTCACTATGAGTCAGGTCCAACTCGACGGCACATAACAACAACAACAACAATGTTCAGAGTGGGTATTATCATTGAAAAACTGAAAAGGAAACCTGATAGGCTGGTAATTAGATTAACTGGGTTTTATTTATTTATTTATTTATTTTGGATACAATAACTTTGAACTGTTAGGGATAGCAAAATATTTATCTGACTAACTAGGAAGTACTCCATAATTATTATAATTATGTAATAATTAATAATATATGGCATTATCCTCATATTTTTGGTATTTCACAATTAATTGCACACATCCTTTTGCAAGCATTAAATGTGTTATTTAAATTTTTATTTTAGAAATGACATACAAATGTTTTTGTATATTAGAAAATAATGTTTTTTCTTTATTAATATAGTGACCAGAAATGTGGAAAACTAGTATGTGTGTATAACAAACAACATATATTTAAAATTCGAAATGCCACTACTCTTTATACCAACATAAATGGATATACTTGTATCACCTTGGAGGTTCCCCATGATAATAGGAACAAAAAAATGATGTGGGTACAAGATGGAACTGTTTGTGGTCAAAATAAGGTAGGAAATCTTTTTTTTTTTTTTTTC